GAAGAGTTCAGAGAACTGCGACTAAGCTGATTCCGAAAATAGTGAAACTCCCGTATCATGTCCGACTGGCTAAGCCAAACTTATTCCTAGTGTCATATTGGAGAATCAGAGGGACCTTTATTACTGTTTTCAAGTTACTTAACGACAAATTTGCATTAAAATTGATAGTGTTTTCTGTTTCTGCCAACTGTTGTTTGTTTCTTGGATTTTGTTTTTTTCCTTTTCGAACGGGAAGTTTAGTCCTAACGTGATTTGCATATATCAAACTTTTGCTGTGTTCTTACGCAACAAAAGTACCATTTCAGTTCTAAAGAATCTATCCTGAGCTATACGTTCGGTAGATTACTTTTTTTGAGTTTCACTATATTTAATAGTTACCTGTGGTTTTGCCTCAGCTTACTATTCGGTTTTTTTCGTTTTTCACGTAAAGACTAGTTTCAGTTTATATCACTCGTTTTGTCCATTTTTGTCCGTTTTCGGTGTGCTTTTTAGTGTTTTTTAAAAAAGGCCTTAAGCTCTTGCAAGCATCTATAACATAGTTTGCTTCAACACCGTCATGAAAAACTCATGCAAACGTCCGGGATGCCGTTTTGCTGTCACAACTGGCATGCAGTGCGACAACTGCAAAGGTTGGTTCCACGAAGCATGCACAAATCTGACAGCAACTGCTTACAACAGACTCAGCAAGTCAGACCAAAAGTGGGTATGTGTCACGTGCAACACGGACGCAGTAGTCTTGCTGAGTAACATCATTGTCCTACTGACAGGTCTTCGGAACAAGCTGTCAGTTAACTTGGAATACGACAGTAAAAAAACCGATATACAAACAAGAGCGTGCAACGGACTCAAAAACAGGGATGTCGATAGGTATACCATCGATGGAGCATCCATCAACACTAATGACGACGTGTCGAGGCTCAGTACCATCATTACGTCGACGGTACTAGACTCCCTAGGCAAACTCGGGTCTCCCAGCTCAGGGTCCCTGAACACAACAGTGGTTCCCAAAAACCCTGCAGGTGATTCGACCCACGTTAAGAGAGCCCAAAAGAACCAGGCATCACCGCCTAAGCCGAGCAACCCAAGTGTTGCTGCACGGAAAATAACTGGTGATTTAGTCGCACAGTCTACCCCCAAGACTGTTCGTCCGGTCAATAAAGAGCCCAAGATTCATAAACGCACACTGACCTCCAAACAACAAGTTATTAAACCTGAACCCATCGTGAAACCTGGTAAATTAACAACAGTTCGTGACGATTCTCTCATTATCATGAACCTCGTCGACAACCCTGACCTTCCTCTCAGTCTGCAGGATAAAAACGACAGGATGCTGTGGGGTGAATTGAACAAGAAGCTCGAACTTCCTAGAATAGAGCCTTCGACGGTCACCCGGCTCACTCGAGGAAAGGATTCTAAGCATCTAAATCACCCGAGGCTTCTCCGAGTAACACTTAAGAATGCTACCGACGTAGAGGACGTCTTGCTAGCAAGTCACTTGCTGAAATCAGATGGTAACGTAAGAATATTGCCCGACATACCGTACTTTGAGCGCAATATCATACGAAACGTCCCTAAAGAATCTCGCGAGAAGTTTTTCCGCCGAAGAAACATAATTGTCCAAGGTATACCGGAAAATGTAGACCCTACTCAATCAAATTCTGACATCAGGGAATGGAAATTCATCAAGCAGTCCTTGAGGCTCAAACACATACTGACTCAGCATGTGACGATACTAGCCAAGAAGGACGGTGATCTTAGACCCCGTCTAATGAAGATAACCTTCCCATCTTCCCACATGGCGGCTGCAGTTCTGGAAGCATTTCGTGCTAATGGACGTCGATTGCCACCTGGAATCCACATGCACCCGGATAGGCCATACGAAGCTAGGACCAAACACAAAGGCAAGTTGGAGCTGACCATTCCACTTGTGGACTGTCTAAACGATAAAAAAACGTGTAAAGGACAGGGTCTACCACCTCGGCAAACCTCATATAGGTGGGCTACCTGTCCATTCACATAAGGTTCATACAGAAAAACAGGACGAAGGTCACGCGTTCCAAATTGAAAGCATAAACTGCTTATAAATGAACGCCGCGAGTCTACCAAACAAACTGGATGAACTACGTGAACTTAGCAACGCTAACAAGGCCCATCTGATAGGAATATCTGAAACCTGGATATCTTCTCAGTTCTCGGACCAAGAGTTAGCATTACCTGAGATGACTTTGTTCCGCAACGACAGAAAAATAGGAATTGGGGGCGGAGTAGCCATGTACATAAGCTCTTGCTTGGAGGCGCACCATGTTCACAACCTCGAGTTTAACAATCTTGAGGAATCCATATGGTGCTCTGTAAGGTTGTCTAGTACTTCCAGGTGTCTAGTCGGAGTCATTTACAGGAAGCCAACTGCCGACACCGAGTACGATAGTCGTATGCTGGAAGGACTATCCCGCTCTATCCGTCTCGGTTTCACACACATCCTGATTCTAGGGGACTTTAATCTCCCTAGAGTCAACTTCGCGGAACACACGTACACTGGAGGCGACAACTCAACTGAAGCTCGGTTCTTCAACCTCATCGATAACTTGGGCTTATATGAAAATGTGAGGTCGGCAACTCGTTGGAGAAACAGTCAGACACCATCGCGCTTAGACTGTGTATTCACTAACGAAGAATTCCTAGTCGACAACCTCTCAATCCTGGCTCCTCTGGGAAAGAGCGATCACGCCGTCATAGCCTTCAGTTTTGTCATCAAAACTAAGCTAAGGTATCCCAACAATAATTTGAGTTGGAATTTTAAACGGCTGAATGTGCCAGCTCTACATGACTATCTACAACAGGTGGTTTGGGATGTTCACCCTCAACTCGATGTGGATGGTCACTGGGACTTCTTACTGCACACGCTCTTATGTGCTACAGACCATTCAGTTCCTCAAACGGTTCCCAAAAGCTGCAAGCCACCCACAGTAATCAAGAACCGTACCCTTCGCCTGCTAAGCCGCAAAAGACACTGTTGGGCGGAATATAAACGAACTAACAACGATGGAGCGTATAGGCAATATAAACATATCAGGAACATATGCACGAAGGCTATAAGAGAAGACAGGCTTCAGTACCAAACAAAGCTTATGGACAAATTCGCCTCTAACCCTAGAAGCCTATTCCGTTACGCAGCCTCTCTTCGTCAAGCCAAAACAGGAGTTTCTCAACTGCTAGGTCTTAACGGCCCGACCAACAACGTTGGCGACGCCGCTAACCTTCTGGCGGCACATTACTCTCAAACATTTCAACCGGCTGACATCAACTTTATTGACGACAGTTTCATCTGCAATTCCACAGGACTTTCTGAAGTGGACCTAAGCGCTGACTTGGTGTTCCGGAAATTGCAGCACTTAAGACTTGACACTTCTCCTGGCCCGGATATGGTTAATCCTGCCATACTGAGGGAGGCAGCCTCAATCCTGGCAACGCCGCTTAGCGTGATGTTTTCACACTCGCTTAGCCGAGGCAAATTACCGGAAATTTGGAAGTTGGCTCACATCACACCAATTTTCAAAGGTGGTCGACGCAATGAACCTTCAAGTTATCGGCCGGTGGCTCTTCTGTCATTACCTTCAAAACTCATGGAGTCCCTGATATGCGACGGTTTAAACGATTATCTACTGTCCTTAAATTTCTTCTCACCCCAACATCATGGTTTCAGGAAGGGTTACTCTTGTACGACCAACCTACTGACTGCGGTGGACAGATGGACAAGCATCCTCGATTGCAAGGGAAAGGTTGATGTCATTTACCTTGATTTCTCAAAAGCTTTTGATAAGGTTAACCACTTGTGTCTTATCAATAAGCTCAAACGACTAGGTATCAAACCACCTCTAATCGACTGGCTTACTTCATACCTAAAAAATCGACACTTTAAGGTTAGGGTTAATTTCATTTTATCTGAGGCTATGGAATGTCCTAGTGGGGTCCCCCAGGGCTCAGTACTAGGGCCTCTTCTCTTCTTGATCTACATAAATGATCTTCCTCAACAGGTAACGTCAGACTTATTACTTTTTGCCGATGACGTGAAACTTTGGAGAGAGATACGCAACCAAGACGATACACAGGCACTTCAGGAGGATCTGACTCGACTTCAAAGTTGGGCAGACGATAACGGACTTACCTTTAACACTTCAAAGTGTAAAGTAGTCCATCTGCGACATGTCGCAAACTACAGTTACAACTTAGGAAACTCCTCTCTAGTAGTATCCCAAGTCGAAAAAGATTTAGGAGTCCTGGTGCCCCATGACTTAAAGTCTTACGCTAACTGTGACAAAAATGCCTTCCGAGCAAACCTTGCACTGGTAACGTTGAGGCGCATTTTTGGCCAGTTTGACGGAAGAACTTTCCACACAATCTTCAATAGTTTCATCCGTCCCCATTTAGAGTACGGAAACATAGTACTCCCCCCTCACTCCAAAAGGACAAGGTCACTTTGGAGCGTATCCAACGGCGAGCCACGAAATCAGTTCGAGGACTCAAATCTAAGCCTTACGAAGAACGCCTCCGTTCACTAGACCTTTACCCACTAGAATATAGGCGTCTTAGAGGTGATTTATTAATGGCTTATAGTATTCTTAACACTTCTGGACATCCTCTTAAACACCTACTTAAGCTTAGTTCGAATAATAACCTAAGGGGTAACACCCAGAAACTGGAAACACAACATAGCAAGACGGAATGTAGACACAACTTCTACTCCTTAAGAGTTGTCAAAAGCTGGAACTCGCTGCCGGCCGAGCTAGTCCAAGCGACTTCTCAGGAGTCCTTCAAGAGGCAACTTGACCTATTCTTAAGGACCAAGGACAGCATCACACTATGATTTACCAATTTCTTTTCCTTTTTTATTGTTAACATACCTAGGTTCCTGCCTGGAGGATTTGGTGATCCCCTGCTACTAGACACGGAAGCCTGTTAAGCGAAAGCTTCTTCTATTCCGTCCACAACCATTTGAACCATTTGAATCCTTTGCTGTATCGTGGGATACTCGTCTCCTCAAGGTCGTGTTAGCATCCTCTCGACGTCCTCTTTGAAAATGTCGATGTGCATATATGGGCAATAATATTTCTGACCCCTCTATTCACTTAGTAAAAAGTGACTGTTTGAGAGGCGGATTTGCGATCTATAAAAATGATAATTATGAGGTTTCATTCCATCATACTGTTCAACCTACATATAACAAGTTTCGCATTATCAAGTACCTTAAGGCACATACGACAACTAATAGAAATGATGATTCGCAAAGTGATGTGAAAATTAGTACGTGTGCAAACGTGCTTGCGTGTGATGATCTACTCAGCTCGTCGGTAAGTTATTTCAACTGTTGCTGCTACTAATCAAGATACCTGTTAGGCTGCGTCATCCATCTATTCTTCGTGTCCAAAAGGCTTGTTCTGATGGACTTAACAGTTTGTACTTGGTGGTTGAAAACTCAGTCCCATTTAGTGCTTTCGTTACCAATCCCACAATGGATGACCTACTAGCTGGGTCCTATAGTCTTCTCTCTGCTCTCAACTTCCTGCATAATACAGTAAATCATTGTCAACTAATATCCCTTCGATTAGCTTGGAGTTTCGCACAATAACGTGGATACTACCAGCGTATTTATTGATTCGAATATGTGTTGGAAGTTGTGCGGTTTTGAGCTCGCTCTGGAATTTAAGAATATGTCTGCTGACCATATACGAAGAATTGAAGCTTTAAAGGGACAACAAGACGCAAAAGTGGGTCAAACAAAATTATTTGACGCTTTTCAGGCTTTAAATTTTGATCCGGCGTATGCCTTCTGTTATGATATATATTGTTTTAGCCGAATGATTTGTACGCTAACTGATATAGGCGAAGGTTTTGTACTTCCTCACTCATAATTGTTTTGTTTCCGCAGGTCCTTTCTATAATCTCGTACAGGTTTTAATTAACTCTTGCATGCATAGTTTACCCAAAGCGCGTATACCTTCTGACCACCTATTAGCTCACCCATCTTTCAAGTAAGCTTCTTCGGAATTCTTAGATTTGTTATTTAGGAGCCCATATATATCCACATTGGATTTTTTAGACACATATGTGAGTCGTAGTGATGAGGAGAAGGAAGTGTTCTTCAGGTACAACTATTGTAAGATTTTTTGGTTCTGTCAATTTTCATTTAATAAAGATGTACGTACGAAATCTGTTCAGTACCATTTGAGTTATTGTAGTTTCAATTGATTGCGCACTGGCTCACTCACTAGTATCCAATCACTCACTACTGAAATAGAGCATTATACCTGTATTTATATGAAAGTTCATGTTAATCAATGTAGACGAAACCTCCACCTGATCCAACTCATTACCAACTAGTCTACTTGACCTAATATTCTGTCCCGTTTAGTAAAAGCAGCAAATTTGTCGTTAAGCTATAATACTTTGTGGGGTTTGTCTATTATCAAAAGCCAGAGTGACCAAATTAAGATATGGCATCAGTACATGTATTCGATTATTGACCTTTGGCTTGTTCTTATTTATTATTTATCTGAACAATTATTAGTAAAAGAGGGCATCAAGTACAAATGCGCGACACAACAAAAATGAGGCTAGCAGTAGTTACTGGTCTGTGTGAGGACTGTAGTACTGCCCAGGTGCCCAAACCGAGGCAGGTGGTTTTCTTAGAGGGCCACTCGCTGAGCCTTTGGCCTAGAGGTCTGATCCACAAAGCAGTGGAGCAACGTCAGAAGATGCAGTCCAATAGTAACCGATGACCAACAATTCGTTCATACGCCATTTGTTCTCTCGGGATTTTGGGACCCATGTACACTATTGGTTTGGAATCAAGGTTTTCCTACTCCTCTAGGTGGATCCTCCGTGTCCACCAACCCTGTTAAAGCGCTGGTCATCCGCTTTTCGTCGTCTCAATTTGGTGAACAACACTCCTACCACGAGAAAGCAGTGAGTAGGACTTCCCTGGCAGTGGCTGTATACACGTGGTCATGTGAGAGCATTTCGAGACGGCGAACGGACTTTCTCCACCCTCGGCTGTACCAGGGTATTTGAGTGTCTTAGTCTTGTTGGCAGTTGCGGACTGTTTAGCTGGTGTTCGTGCGATTACCATGGTCAATGGTTCGGGTCATTGGATGACATTGCACTTGACAAATCCACTCTTCCCGGTTGAACTCAAAGTTCATAGAAACCAATCATTAATTGCGTATTCGAAAGATGACAACATTTTTAGTGTCTTTCAAAGCTTCTACAAAATCTGGTATTTAGTCAGCTGTTATAAAACAGGGTCTCATGTTTATTTTTTTTTAATGAAACCCTGATCGTGATAAAGCTGAGTGATTGATCAACGCATTGGTACGAAGTGGCTGCTCACGAGAGCGAATTGCTGACTTAAGCTCCCGAATGATTTGAAATTAAGAAAAAGACCACAAAGCAGAGGGAAATGTTTGTATATCCAATAAAATTACATGTTTATGTGCATAACATGATAAAATGTCGTAGGCGGCTGATGGGCATTAGTATTTAAGTCACTAACTCCAGTCGGTCAGGACCTGATCATTACGCCTAATTCTTGCCTTTCATGACATTAACATATTCATCACCAAATTGGACTTTTATTTGCTTAATTTAACTTGATAACAGAGTCTCCAAACTAAAGTCACATCCTAATAATCCTACTCTAATAAAGATAAACACCTTGAAACATATCAATTATAAAATAAATGAAAATACTGAATGTGGATAACCCTGACGCAGACCATCTAACTTAATCATTTCAATCAAACCTTTTATAAAGGTCATGGGAATTTTTTGAACATTAATCAATGAGTTCATCGATTGACTGCTATTTAATCATTTAATCGATAAGTTTATCGATATGATAAAATTACAAATATGAGTTTTGGGGATATATCGTCCCCAACATCGAGTAGTATTATTGGCTCTACCCCTCAACACATAACCCGATACTTGGCTACTAAACTAATATTATCTCCTTTCTCGTTCTTTTTTTGGAACCTAGATCATTTACAGAAAAAGTATTTAACAGGATATCAGAAGAGTTATTTTGTCGCAACATTTTACCAAAAATGTTCGAAAACACTATCTTTCTTGATTATCCGGCTCAAACCCTACTTGCGCAGATTTTCCACGCTTTCGAAGGTGTGTTTGCATTTTGATTATTAGTTTTGTACCCTCATTTTTAATAGGGGAACTACTTTCCTCGTGTGGTGTTTTGTTCCATATACTTCGTAATTAGTTTCGTTGCAATTCCTTTGAACACTAATGTACTGCAACTCAAATACTGACCCATGGTACATATAATCCTACAATAAGTGACTACGACTCATGTTCCCACTCTTCACAATACCAAAGCGAGCGTCAACACGGAAAACACCAAAATTCCTTAGGACAAATCCCTTTTCTCTAGACCTGCACGCTAACGGACACAACTAATGGTATTTACTAGTCTAAAAACAGCAATTAATTGCTTTGACCTTCAGCGTTCAGCACATAAATACCTAACAAATATATCACCGTTTATTGGGGGACTTATGTCATTTCATTATTTAATGAACTTTCATCCGGACTGGCTATCCTGAGTAGTGTTTGGAATTATCCATCATTTCCACTCAGCTTGGTCATGGATGTTTTATATGGTTACACTTTTGTCTTTCCAAAAGCATGTTTCCTGATTGGAGATCCTCTTCAATATTTATTCCCCATAATAATGTTCATTCGTTAGTCTTCAAAATAGTGCAAATCGCTCCCAATGTATATCCCAGATCGTGTGTAGATGTGCCCAGTGTTTTGTGCTCAGTTCGTTGATTTGTGCATATGTGTTTGAGTCATTGTCGTAACATCTCCAAACACTAATCTTCTCGATTACTGCTTATACTCTTATTACCTCTACCACTACGGGATTTGAATCGACCACTGTATCTCTGTGCTAATGTGGTGTGGCAACTCGAACTGATGTACGTACGTACGAAGTTCTACGTTGTTACTGACTGACTGACATTGTCGTTTGTGGACAGTCAGTCAGTCATCTACAACATAGGACGATGCACATATATTTATTATTTTATTTGGACACATGAATATTGGTACAAGAGAGCGCCAATATATATGCGCCACACAGAACAATGAATATTCGAAGAGGAATACAAAGAAAGAAAAAAAAGAAGCTAAGGAGCACAAAAAAAAGAGAGAACAATAACGAAGAGATTGGTGTAAGGTAATGTGCTAGTAAACAGGGAACGCAAAGGTACAATCGGAAGAAATCCTTCAGGTAAGGGAGACACAACCACTTTTTATGAAGAAAGTAAAAGAAGGTTACAGCAGGATCGCCACTGGCTTCTATTCTGAGCCATATCTGATAACGTCTCTAGCCACTGTGTAGCACCATCTCTCGGACCCCAACCAGGGAGTCGTGAAGGACCAACAGAACCCAACCCTTTATAGATTTCTTTCATACCACGACACCATGTCATATACTGACCACCTCTCCACTTCTTCCAACCAGTCCCAGAGTCGGCAAATAATGCACGACGTGGAATTCTATGGGACGACATTCGTAGAACATGTCCAAGCCACCGAAGTCGGTGTTTCAAGATGGTGACACCGATTGAGTTATCATTTCTGTGCCCGAACACACGATGCCGAACCTCTGCATTACTGACATGGTGTTGCCACTGAATGTCAGCAATCCTTCGGAGACAGCGATGATCGAACACAGAGAGTCGTCTAACGTCCTCAACTCGGAGAGGCCAGGTTTCACAAGCATAGAGCGAAACTGCTCTCACCGACGCGTTGTAGATCCGACCTTTTACAGTCAGACTAACATCACGAAGGCGCCAAAGGTGGCCCAGATTGGCATAAGCCGCTCTGGCTTTCACTATACGTGGATTGATCTCATCACTCACGCCAGCACCAGCACTTATGCATCTACCCAGATACACGAACTTCTCGACTACGTCTATCTGCTCGCCATCCAGGGTGAGTACAGGATTGGAATCCTATTAGTCTTGTAGAAGTACTTTGCACTTCGAAGGTGCAAAGCACATACCATACCTACGGACACTGATTGCCAACTGATGAAGTGCGGATTGCATGCCTTGGGCATTATCGCACAGTAAGACAATATCGTCCGCATACTCAAGGTCGAGAAGTCTTTCTCCAGGCAACAGATCCACACCACCAATACTTACATTCATCAGAGCTGTTTCCAGAATGTCATCGATGGCAAATTTGAAGAGGAATGGTGAGATTGGGCAACCCTGTCTAACCCCACTACTCGAATGGAACAATGGAGAGAGGTGGTTGTATGCCCTCACTCTGCCTGAGGTGTTTGTATATAGGGCTTTTAGGATGTTAATAAACTTCTCAGGCACACCCTTCTTCAATAGACAATCCCAGAGAACAGTCCTGTCCAACGAATGGAAGGCAGCCCTGATGTCAAGAAACACTACGATTGTTGGCCTTTGATAAGAATGGCGATGTTCTAACATTTGGCGGAGGGTGAAGATATGATCAATACATCCTCGACCAGAACGAAACCCAGCCTGCTCCTCGCGAGTCAATCTTTCTCGGGTTTTGAACAACCTACGAAGTATGACGGAAGCCAATAGCTTGGACGCAATCGGAAGTAGACTTATCCCCCGATAGTTGTTGCAGGAAGGACGTGAACCCTTTTTAAAGATAGGGACAACTATCGACTCATTCCATGACGTTGGTACACTCTCTAACACCCAAACCTTTGTAAACAACGTCATCAATTCCTTAGTCAAAAAGTCACCACCATCTTTAAAAAGAGCCGGAGGTAAGTCATCTGGGCCAGGTGATTTGTAACGCTTCAAGAGTTGGAGTTCCTTGCGGACTTCCTCCTCGTTTGGTGGATCAGTCGTCACCGGCCATGGAGGGCAGGACAGTCTGACCGATGTTGCCGGAGCAGCAGGCCAGTTGAACTGACCTTCGAAAGATTCAGCCCATCGTCCAAGACGTCGATGGATCTTAGTGATTGGCATCCTGTCATCCTCGTAGATTGTTTCGCTCACACCAGACTTCTTGCTACCAGTAGCTCGGATGAGTTGGAAGAGCTTCCGGTAATTACCAGATGCAGCTGTTGTTTCCAGCTCATTAGTACGCTTCGACCACCAGGCTTCTCGGTCCTTACGCAAGCTTTGCCCAATTTCCTTACGTAACTTCCTTCGTTTGTGGTCAAACTCACGGTCACATGGGGTAGACTGACGGGCTTCGATGAGTTGTAAGTAGCCTGAAGAAACACAGTACTTATAAGCGGGACGTCTCGCGAACCCACAACTGACTGTACCCGCCATTTTCATGGAGTCGTGCAATTGCAACCAATGCCCATCTATACTATTCGGTGGAGTGGTAGCTAACCTAGAGGCTAGCTCGGTTCGATACTTACTAGCAACAGAAGTTGCAACCAGCTTGCTAACATCAATCCGTTGGTGTCGGTCACTTCGTTGTCCACTGAAAAGTAAGGTAAGATTGGCGCCGACCAAGGCATGATCAGTGTCCAGATAGGTACTCCAAAAGGAGCGGCAGTCTTGTACACAACCACGCCAGCGGTAGCTGATCGCGATGTGATCGATGTGAGTCCAGGCTTGAGATGCAGAGGGAGGACGCCAGGTGGCACATCGGCGATGACTGTGCACAGTTGCAGTAGACGGTCCCCGTTATCTGACCTGCGACCAACGAGTCCCCATCGGCCACCTAAACGACTCCCTTCTGTGCCTAGACGCCCGACCTGAGCATTCAAGTCTCCGGCTAGTACTACAATATCTGTCGAACCCACTTTCTGGAGAAGAACAGATAACTGGTGGTAAAACTCATCCTTGATTGCATCCGGGCTGCAATCTGTCGGGGCATAGGTGGAGATGACGAAAAGACATCGTTTCTCACGCCGATTTCTTCTCACTTTGATGGAACTTTCTAATCTAACAGCACATAACCGACTGTTAATGGGGATTCAATCGACTAGTGCTGCCTCAGCTCTAGCGCTTAGTGCGACACCAACGCCAGCAAGACCAGACGAAGATGCCACAGGGTCCCCGGATAAGCGCACGTAAAACAAGCTTTTTGAAGTGACAGATGGAGATCGAATTTGTAGTACTTCACCAGAGTCTTGAATACGGGTCTCGGATAGACAGCAGACATCGATATTAAGACTTTCCAAAGACATAGCCAACCCTATCTGTTGTCCAACCTGCATAAGTGTGCGAACGTTGAAGGCAGCCAGTTTGAATGGTGCACGTGGTTTCAGAAAAACTGTTTCAGTACTCATATTCAGTGGTAACATACAATTTTCAACCGGACAGTGACTCGAGAACGTTTAGATACAGTCGAATTTCCACCAAAGACGAGCCGCTGTATAAGTATAAAAGAGAGTGAATAATGTCGTAGTAAATAATAATAATAATAATAATAATAATAATAATAATAATAATAATAATAATAATAATGACAATAATAGTAATAATAATAGTATTAATAATGACAATAATAGTAATGATAATTATTTGAATCGATTGATTGTTTTTCGGAGCGAGAAAAGTAGTTGCCATAGACATAGAGTTCATCGTTTGTGTGTGGGCTGTGATACTGCCCGGGTGCCCAAACCGAAGCAGGTGGTTATCTTAGGGGGCCACTCTCCGAGCCGTTGACCTAAAGGTCTAACCCACAAGGCAGTGGAGCAGCGTAAGGAGATGCAATCCCATGGTAGCCGGTGACCAAAGATTGGTTCATACGCCATTTGTTCCCGCAGGATACTGGAGCCCATGTGCACCATTGATTTGGAATCCGGTTAAAGCGTCGGACATTCGCTTTTCGTCCTCTCATTTTCGTAAACAACACCCCCGCCACGATAAGGCAATGAGTAGGACTTCCCTGGCAGAGGCTGTATACGCGTGGCCGTGTGAGAGTATTTCGAGAGGGAGAGCGGACCCACCCCACTCTCGACCGTACCAGGGCATTCAGGGGCCTTCACGGATGGTAATATATGAAAAAAGGTCGCATATAAGATTATGATACAGGGAGAAAGAATTGGTTCGTAGAAAGGAAGGTATAAAGTAACTTTAATCTCACCGTTTAAGGACAGACGAAGAGTACATACACCTACACCATTGTGATCGATTCTGAGCCATGTCACCCAGAGTTTCCAACCACTAGTTACTATAGTCACTCGGAACACAATCAAATGGTCTGCATCTACCAACGTGGCAAGACTAGAAGTTAGTGACTTCAAGCACCGATAACACGTTTTGGTTTGGCTGCCACTAACTTTCTTCCAACCATATCCAACACTAGTCAGCATTTCGCGTTGTAGTAATCGGTATTCAGGCATACGTAACACGTGGCCCAACCATCTCAGTCAATGAAGATTCACAACCTCATCAACTGACTTACCATCATTCCCTAATACCCTACGTCTAACCTCACTGTTACTTACTCGGTGATCCCAGCAGACTCCAGCAATATTTCTAAGGCATCTATGGTCAAATACTAGTAACTTACGAGTATCTTATTCATTAAGAAGTATAATTTAGAAGGCTTGAAAACCAGATTTCTCCTTTAGTTGGTAATGTGATACTCTGTTAGTCGAGCATATGCTACTGTGTTTATCTAGTAAAATGCTGCAGCGACGAATTCTTTTAACCAAATTGATCATCCCTGTAAACTGGCGTGAATTCTGTAATTATTATTTTCAGAATATATAAAATTATATTTAGTTATTGAGTTCTTATTTTGTTTTTGTCGATGGTGATTACATAAACGGATAAATATACTTTTTTATTATCAAGTAACTTGATTTGTTTTTGGTCTGATTTTCAATCTAGAAAACCTTCAAGAGTCACCCAAATCCAAATTGATCATATCTCTTCGAAATTTTCAGAAGTTTGTCAATCCTTTAATTGTTCAGAAATTTATGGTTAACGAGAGACACACGCGTATTTTGTTACTTCAGCACTTCACTGGCTATTTAAAAATATTAACTGATAGTGATTTGTTAAATGTGATATTACCACAAGTAGGTATATTTGCATTTCGTGTTTAATTTTCAACATAATATTTCTAACACAGTTATGCATAGTCTTCTTTATCCTTGTACCATATCCTTTGGATTTTGTTGCACCGTTTTACGATAACTCAGTCACTGAGTTATAGATAATTCAATAATATTAGTCAGTAACCAGAAAGTGATGTGGCTTTTATTGTCAGTTTGATTTGTGATCACCTTAAATAAGATAATATGGTGCAGCATATTGAATAGTAGATGATTCGTTAAGTGGGCTGTTAGTCGTAACACTAAGAATTTAGTAAGATCACCTGTATATTTAATGCTGACTTTTACAAATTTAAACTTTATTGGTTGACCACATTCTTCTTCATTAACAATAAACAAGCGTATTAATACTGCACTTAGTATGGATTGCGTACAAAATGAATACTAAATCGTGTTACATATTACTCAAGATCATGGTAATTGTGCAAGTCACGAGCACGTATATATAGTGATAATTCGATGTACATTATATTTCATTCTCAGTGCATTAATTTATACATATATGCGTTCGAGTCACTATCGTTCGTGGACAATGTTGTATCGATTCACAATATGCTATATGGAGTGCTGGGATATAGCTCCCGAGCGTGACATGCGTATCGGGTTTAAGTTCCAGCTATAGGTGTTGTTTGTTGTTGAATGATTGATGTTCGGAATGCTGGAGTGTGGATTAGTGATTGTGTTGTGTGTGGTGTTTGACGTGAATGTATTGTTGATTGTGTGTTTCTGATTTGTTGGCGTGTGATTGATTCGTGATGGTTGGATGTGCTCTTGGTTTTGTGTTTAATGCATTGATTTGTGCATATGTGTTCGATTCATTGTTGTTCGTGGACAATGTTGTATCGATTCACAATATGCTATATGGAGTGCTGGGATATAGCTCCCGAGCGTGACATGCGTATCGGGTTTAAGTTCCAGCTATAGGTGTTGTTTGTTGTTGAATGATTGATGTTCGGAATGCTGGAGTGTGGATTAGTGATTGTGTTGTGTGTGGTGTTTGACGTGAATGTATTGTTGATTGTGTGTTTCTGATTTGTTGGCGTGTGATTGATTCGTGATGGTTGGATGTGCTCTTGGTTTTGTGTTTAATGCATTGATTTGTGCATATGTGTTCGATTCATTGTTGTTCGTGGACAATGTTGTATCGATTCACAATATGCTATATGGAGTGCTGGGATATAGCTCCCGAGCGTGACATGCGTATCGGGTTTAAGTTCCAGCTATAGGTGTTGTTTGTTGTTGAATGATTGATGTTCGGAATGCTGGAGTGTGGATTAGTGATTGTGTTGTGTGTGGTGTTTGACGTGAATGTATTGTTGATTGTGTGTTTCTGATTTGTTGGCGTGTGATTGATTCGTGATGGTTGGATGTGCTCTTGGTTTTGTGTTTAATGCATTGATTTGTGCATATGTGTTCGATTCATTGTTGTTCGTGGACAATGTTGTATCGATTCACAATATGCTATATGGAGTGCTGGGATATAGCTCCCGAGCGTGACATGCGTATCGGGTTTAAGTTCCAGCTATAGGTGTTGTTTGTTGTTGAATGATTGATGTTCGGAATGCTGGAGTGTGGATTAGTGATTGTGTTGTGTGTGGTGTTTGACGTGAATGTATTGTTGATTGTGTGTTTCTGATTTGTTGGCGTGTGATTGATTCGTGATGGTTGGATGTGCTCTTGGTTTTGTGTTTAATGCATTGATTTGTGCATATGTGTTCGATTCATTGTTGTTCGTGGACAATGTTGTATCGATTCACAATATGCTATATGGAGTGCTGGGATATAGCTCCCGAGCGTGACATGCGTATCGGGTTTAAGTTCCAGCTATAGGTGTTGTTTGTTGTTGAATGATTGATGTTCGGAATGCTGGAGTGTGGATTAGTGATTGTGTTGTGTGTGGTGTTTGACGTGAATGTATTGTTGATTGTGTGTTTCTGATTTGTTGGCGTGTGATTGATTCGTGATGGTTGGATGTGCTCTTGGTTTTGTGTTTAATGCATTGATTTGTGCATATGTGTTCGATTCATTGTTGTTCGTGGACAATGTTGTATCGATTCACAATATGCTATATGGAGTGCTGGGATATAGCTCCCGAGCGTGACATGCGTATCGGGTTTAAGTTCCAGCTATAGGTGTTGTTTGTTGTTGAATGATTGATGTTCGGAATGCTGGAGTGTGGATTAGTGATTGTGTTGTGTGTGGTGTTTGACGTGAATGTATTGTTGATTGTGTGTTTCTGATTTGTTGGCGTGTGATTGATTCGTGATGGTTGGATGTGCTCTTGGTTTTGTGTTTAATGCATTGATTTGTGCATATGTGTTCGATTCATTGTTGTTCGTGGACAATGTTGTATCGATTCACAATATGCTATATGGAGTGCTGGGATATAGCTCCCGAGCGTGACATGCGTATCGGGTTTAAGTTCCAGCTATAGGTGTTGTTTGTTGTTGAATGATTGATGTTCGGAATGCTGGAGTGTGGATTAGTGATTGTGTTGTGTGTGGTGTTTGACGTGAATGTATTGTTGATTGTGTGTTTCTGATTTGTTGGCGTGTGATTGATTCGTGATGGTTGGATGTGCTCTTGGTTTTGTGTTTAATGCATTGATTTGTGCATATGTGTTCGATTCATTGTTGTTCGTGGACAATGTTGTATCGATTCACAATATGCTATATGGAGTGCTGGGATATAGCTCCCGAGCGTGACATGCGTATCGGGTTTAAGTTCCAGCTATAGGTGTTGTTTGTTGTTGAATGATTGATGTTCGGAATGCTGGAGTGTGGATTAGTGATTGTGTTGTGTGTGGTGTTTGACGTGAATGTATTGTTGATTGTGTGTTTCTGATTTGTTGGCGTGTGATTGATTCGTGATGGTTGGATGTGCTCTTGGTTTTGTGTTTAATGCATTGATTTGTGCATATGTGTTCGATTCATTGTTGTTCGTGGACAATGTTGTATCGATTCACAATATGCTATATGGAGTGCTGGGATATAGCTCCCGAGCGTGACATGCGTATCGGGTTTAAGTTCCAGCTATAGGTGTTGTTTGTTGTTGAATGATTGATGTTCGGAATGCTGGAGTGTGGATTAGTGATTGTGTTGTGTGTGGTGTTTGACGTGAATGTATTGTTGATTGTGTGTTTCTGATTTGTTGGCGTGTGATTGATTCGTGATGGTTGGATGTGCTCTTGGTTTTGTGTTTAATGCATTGATTTGTGCATATGTGTTCGATTCATTGTTGTTCGTGGACAATGTTGTATCGATTCACAATATGCTATATGGAGTGCTGGGATATAGCTCCCGAGCGTGACATGCGTATCGGGTTTAAGTTCCAGCTATAGGTGTTGTTTGTTGTTGAATGATTGATGTTCGGAATGCTGGAGTGTGGATTAGTGATTGTGTTGTGTGTGGTGTTTGACGTGAATGTATTGTTGATTGTGTGTTTCTGATTTGTTGGCGTGTGATTGATTCGTGATGGTTGGATGTGCTCTTGGTTTTGTGTTTAATGCATTGATTTGTGCATATGTGTTCGATTCATTGTTGTTCGTGGACAATGTTGTATCGATTCACAATATGCTATATGGAGTGCTGGGATATAGCTCCCGAGCGTGACATGCGTATCGGGTTTAAGTTCCAGCTATAGGTGTTGTTTGTTGTTGAATGATTGATGTTCGGAATGCTGGAGTGTGGATTAGTGATTGTGTTGTGTGTGGTGTTTGACGTGAATGTATTGTTGATTGTGTGTTTCTGATTTGTTGGCGTGTGATTGATTCGTGATGGTTGGATGTGCTCTTGGTTTTGTGTTTAATGCATTGATTTGTGCATATGTGTTCGATTCATTGTTGTTCGTGGACAATGTTGTATCGATTCACAATATGCTATATGGAGTGCTGGGATATAGCTCCCGAGCGTGACATGCGTATCGGGTTTAAGTTCCAGCTATAGGTGTTGTTTGTTGTTGAATGATTGATGTTCGGAATGCTGGAGTGTGGATTAGTGATTGTGTTGTGTGTGGTGTTTGACGTGAATGTATTGTTGATTGTGTGTTTCTGATTTGTTGGCGTGTGATTGATTCGTGATGGTTGGATGTGCTCTTGGTTTTGTGTTTAATGCATTGATTTGTGCATATGTGTTCGATTCATTGTTGTTCGTGGACAATGTTGTATCGATTCACAATATGCTATATGGAGTGCTGGGATATAGCTCCCGAGCGTGACATGCGTATCGGGTTTAAGTTCCAGCTATAGGTGTTGTTTGTTGTTGAATGATTGATGTTCGGAATGCTGGAGTGTGGATTAGTGATTGTGTTGTGTGTGGTGTTTGACGTGAATGTATTGTTGATTGTGTGTTTCTGATTTGTTGGCGTGTGATTGATTCGTGATGGTTGGATGTGCTCTTGGTTTTGTGTTTAATGCATTGATTTGTGCATATGTGTTCGATTCATTGTTGTTCGTGGACAATGTTGTATCGATTCACAATATGCTATATGGAGTGCTGGGATATAGCTCCCGAGCGTGACATGCGTATCGGGTTTAAGTTCCAGCTATAGGTGTTGTTTGTTGTTGAATGATTGATGTTCGGAATGCTGGAGTGTGGATTAGTGATTGTGTTGTGTGTGGTGTTTGACGTGAATGTATTGTTGATTGTGTGTTTCTGATTTGTTGGCGTGTGATTGATTCGTGATGGTTGGATGTGCTCTTGGTTTTGTGTTTAATGCATTGATTTGTGCATATGTGTTCGATTCATTGTTGTTCGTGGACAATGTTGTATCGATTCACAATATGCTATATGGAGTGCTGGGATATAGCTCCCGAGCGTGACATGCGTATCGGGTTTAAGTTCCAGCTATAGGTGTTGTTTGTTGTTGAATGATTGATGTTCGGAATGCTGGAGTGTGGATTAGTGATTGTGTTGTGTGTGGTGTTTGACGTGAATGTATTGTTGATTGTGTGTTTCTGATTTGTTGGCGTGTGATTGATTCGTGATGGTTGGATGTGCTCTTGGTTTTGTGTTTAATGCATTGATTTGTGCATATGTGTTCGATTCATTGTTGTTCGTGGACAATGTTGTATCGATTCACAATATGCTATATGGAGTGCTGGGATATAGCTCCCGAGCGTGACATGCGTATCGGGTTTAAGTTCCAGCTATAGGTGTTGTTTGTTGTTGAATGATTGATGTTCGGAATGCTGGAGTGTGGATTAGTGATTGTGTTGTGTGTGGTGTTTGACGTGAATGTATTGTTGATTGTGTGTTTCTGATTTGTTGGCGTGTGATTGATTCGTGATGGTTGGATGTGCTCTTGGTTTTGTGTTTAATGCATTGATTTGTGCATATGTGTTCGATTCATTGTTGTTCGTGGACAATGTTGTATCGATTCACAATATGCTATATGGAGTGCTGGGATATAGCTCCCGAGCGTGACATGCGTATCGGGTTTAAGTTCCAGCTATAGGTGTTGTTTGTTGTTGAATGATTGATGTTCGGAATGCTGGAGTGTGGATTAGTGATTGTGTTGTGTGTGGTGTTTGACGTGAATGTATTGTTGATTGTGTGTTTCTGATTTGTTGGCGTGTGATTGATTCGTGATGGTTGGATGTGCTCTTGGTTTTGTGTTTAATGCATTGATTTGTGCATATGTGTTCGATTCATTGTTGTTCGTGGACAATGTTGTATCGATTCACAATATGCTATATGGAGTGCTGGGATATAGCTCCCGAGCGTGACATGCGTATCGGGTTTAAGTTCCAGCTATAGGTGTTGTTTGTTGTTGAATGATTGATGTTCGGAATGCTGGAGTGTGGATTAGTGATTGTGTTGTGTGTGGTGTTTGACGTGAATGTATTGTTGATTGTGTGTTTCTGATTTGTTGGCGTGTGATTGATTCGTGATGGTTGGATGTGCTCTTGGTTTTGTGTTTAATGCATTGATTTGTGCATATGTGTTCGATTCATTGTTGTTCGTGGACAATGTTGTATCGATTCACAATATGCTATATGGAGTGCTGGGATATAGCTCCCGAGCGTGACATGCGTATCGGGTTTAAGTTCCAGCTATAGGTGTTGTTTGTTGTTGAATGATTGATGTTCGGAATGCTGGAGTGTGGATTAGTGATTGTGTTGTGTGTGGTGTTTGACGTGAATGTATTGTTGATTGTGTGTTTCTGATTTGTTGGCGTGTGATTGATTCGTGATGGTTGGATGTGCTCTTGGTTTTGTGTTTAATGCATTGATTTGTGCATATGTGTTCGATTCATTGTTGTTCGTGGACAATGTTGTATCGATTCACAATATGCTATATGGAGTGCTGGGATATAGCTCCCGAGCGTGACATGCGTATCGGGTTTAAGTTCCAGCTATAGGTGTTGTTTGTTGTTGAATGATTGATGTTCGGAATGCTGGAGTGTGGATTAGTGATTGTGTTGTGTGTGGTGTTTGACGTGAATGTATTGTTGATTGTGTGTTTCTGATTTGTTGGCGTGTGATTGATTCGTGATGGTTGGATGTGCTCTTGGTTTTGTGTTTAATGCATTGATTTGTGCATATGTGTTCGATTCATTGTTGTTCGTGGACAATGTTGTATCGATTCACAATATGCTATATGGAGTGCTGGGATATAGCTCCCGAGCGTGACATGCGTATCGGGTTTAAGTTCCAGCTATAGGTGTTGTTTGTTGTTGAATGATTGATGTTCGGAATGCTGGAGTGTGGATTAGTGATTGTGTTGTGTGTGGTGTTTGACGTGAATGTATTGTTGATTGTGTGTTTCTGATTTGTTGGCGTGTGATTGATTCGTGATGGTTGGATGTGCTCTTGGTTTTGTGTTTAATGCATTGATTTGTGCATATGTGTTCGATTCATTGTTGTTCGTGGACAATGTTGTATCGATTCACAATATGCTATATAGGAGTGCTGGGATATAGCTCCCGAGCGTGACATGCGTATCGGGTTTAAGTTCCAGCTATAGGTGTTGTTTGTTGTTGAATGATTGATGTTCGGAATGCTGGAGTGTGGATTAGTGATTGTGTTGTGTGTGGTGTTTGACGTGAATGTATTGTTGATTGTGTGTTTCTGATTTGTTGGCGTGTGATTGATTCGTGATGGTTGGATGTGCTCTTGGTTTTGTGTTTAATGCATTGATTTGTGCATATGTGTTCGATTCATTGTTGTTCGTGGACAATGTTGTATCGATTCACAATATGCTATATGGAGTGCTGGGATATAGCTCCCGAGCGTGACATGCGTATCGGGTTTAAGTTCCAGCTATAGGTGTTGTTTGTTGTTGAATGATTGATGTTCGGAATGCTGGAGTGTGGATTAGTGATTGTGTTGTGTGTGGTGTTTGACGTGAATGTATTGTTGATTGTGTGTTTCTGATTTGTTGGCGTGTGATTGATTCGTGATGGTTGGATGTGCTCTTGGTTTTGTGTTTAATGCATTGATTTGTGCATATGTGTTCGATTCATTGTTGTTCGTGGACAATGTTGTATCGATTCACAATATGCTATATGGAGTGCTGGGATATAGCTCCCGAGCGTGACATGCGTATCGGGTTTAAGTTCCAGCTATAGGTGTTGTTTGTTGTTGAATGATTGATGTTCGGAATGCTGGAGTGTGGATTAGTGATTGTGTTGTGTGTGGTGTTTGACGTGAATGTATTGTTGATTGTGTGTTTCTGATTTGTTGGCGTGTGATTGATTCGTGATGGTTGGATGTGCTCTTGGTTTTGTGTTTAATGCATTGATTTGTGCATATGTGTTCGATTCATTGTTGTTCGTGGACAATGTTGTATCGATTCACAATATGCTATATGGAGTGCTGGGATATAGCTCCCGAGCGTGACATGCGTATCGGGTTTAAGTTCCAGCTATAGGTGTTGTTTGTTGTTGAATGATTGATGTTCGGAATGCTGGAGTGTGGATTAGTGATTGTGTTGTGTGTGGTGTTTGACGTGAATGTATTGTTGATTGTGTGTTTCTGATTTGTTGGCGTGTGATTGATTCGTGATGGTTGGATGTGCTCTTGGTTTTGTGTTTAATGCATTGATTTGTGCATATGTGTTCGATTCATTGTTGTTCGTGGACAATGTTGTATCGATTCACAATATGCTATATAGAGTGCTGGGATATAGCTCCCGAGCGTGACATGCGTATCGGGTTTAAGTTCCAGCTATAGGTGTTGTTTGTTGTTGAATGATTGATGTTCGGAATGCTGGAGTGTGGATTAGTGATTGTGTTGTGTGTGGTGTTTGACGTGAATGTATTGTTGATTGTGTGTTTCTGATTTGTTGGCGTGTGATTGATTCGTGATGGTTGGATGTGCTCTTGGTTTTGTGTTTAATGCATTGATTTGTGCATATGTGTTCGATTCATTGTTGTTCGTGGACAATGTTGTATCGATTCACAATATGCTATATGGAGTGCTGGGATATAGCTCCCGAGCGTGACATGCGTATCGGGTTTAAGTTCCGGCCATAGGTATTGTTTAGTTTATGAGAGTTGGATTGTTTATTTTTCGGACACATTTGGTATGTTTATCTTCACGTTTTACGTAGCTGAGTTTTTTTTCTGTTCTTGGTTCTTTGTAAGTTTAACAATTTTTATATAGAAATATTGACGTCCAATTTTGCTGCTTATTGTTTTCTTTCGTCAATGTCGGTAATATGCATTGTCTTTAGGGTTCATTTCTAATGATGTTCATTTCTATAAAAATTTGTTTATTATCTGTAGATATGTCGTGGAGTTTTCGATAGTCATAATGCACTATCAGTTTTAAGTTTACAAGCGTTAGGATGTCTTGCTAGTCGTTTGAATGCTACTGTTGTTTTAAATCATTTACGTCGGATCGAAGAAAGCCTATGTAAAGCTGGCAGTTTATCTAATAATTTTAATCATAGTACGAGCACTGACGGAAATAATAGATTTGTTACTTATGTATGGCCTCGTAATAATCTATTTTATGAAGCTGCACCAAAAATTAATCGAACTAATCGGGAAATTCCTTTATGTGAAAAGAGACAAACCCATGTGTTAAATGAATCCAGTCGACCGTTAGCTCAATTGGCCGTTTTTTCTCCAAATTATGATCCATCTATGAATTCCTGTTTTTTAAGCTGTACGGATGAGTAAGTTGACTTCTTAGATATGCATAATTTTATTTTTCACCTAGATTACTGTACGACAGTAATTTGACTTCATTTATTTATTTGAACACAAATGTTATACAAATGAACACCAAAATTAATATACCCCAAGCAAACTAGCGAGTAGAATTTTGAAGTTATAGATACAGAAGAGTAAATGTAGTTGGAAAATAATCAGATTAGTAAAAATAAGTGGACGAGAGTCGTGTGTAATGAAATAAGTAATTCAGTTGAGAAAAGTACAACTAGTAAGAATCTTTTAGTTTAAGAAGTTCCTTTCTCTTTTAAAAGTAAGTAAAAGAAATCACAATAGAATCGTCAATGGTTTCTGTTTTTAGTCATGTTTGATAACATCTCAAGGTACTGAGTTGGACTATGTCTCGAACCTCAATTAGGGAGTTGTGATAGACCGATAGTTGACAGTTCTATGCAGCCTTTCATATCTCGGCGCCTCGTTATAAACTGATTACATCTTTATTTTTCCGAGTCAGTCCCATCGTGAACTAATAAAGCGACATCAAATAAGTTATCATTGACATCCCTAAACACACATTGCTGAACCTCCTTATTACTAACATCGTTTTGCCACTGAATATCAGCAATCCTTCAAAGACAGCTATAGTCGAACACAGAGAGTCGTATAACATCCTTAGTTCAATAAGTTCAGGTTTCGCTTTTTACAGCCAAACTAACATCACGACACCAAAGATAATCGAGATGAACACTAGCATATTTATTACTACTTGAACGTATTACATTTTCAGTCAGCCAGTCATCTACAACGTAGGACGATGCACATATATGCGTCGGTCCAAGTTGCCACACCTTATTAGCACAACAATGTGAACACCAAATTCATAGAATTAGTTACTTCACGGATAGTAATATATGAGAAAAGGTCGCATATAAGATTACGATACAGGGAGAAAGAATTGGTTCGTAGAAAGGAAGGTATAAAGTAACTTTAATCTCAGCTTTTAAGGGCAGACTAAATTTTGTAAATGCCTGTAAATAAATTTGAGTAAGTCTTATTGTAAGTGACACCTTTCAATTCGTGAAACTAGGATATTGCTATAAATTTAACATCCTGACAACGTATGGCTAAGGGACACTCTAAAGAAGCTATTTGTACTAACCAGGTATATACTAACCACTTGGCTTGTTCGGTCTGATCGGGAGCTTGATATATCTACTTCTTGTTGATATAATTCCAAAATGGTCGGGAGTAATTTCAATGATTGATAAAATAGTTTTGTATTTCAGTAACTTGTAGTTCGCGTATAATGGTTTGGAAGTGATTCAATAGACTGTCTTCAATTGAGCATAAAAGTTTAAACATACGAATTATAATTGTGATATTCCTCTTTAATTTTCTTTTATGAAATCGGAATATCTACCTGCTTAACACGTTTAGTAGCACCAGGTCGAAAGTTGTATGATTCGCACTGGTTTGAATTTCATTTCTTTAGTGGCTCCACAATGAATGGGAACTACTGCTCCCACTGTATCTTATTTCTATCGCCTTTGCCTTGAAGTTTCGTATGACGGATGAGAGCGCAATGCTATACTGCTTGCAGTAAATTGATGTTAATGTAACCTATGCACATAGGTCTATGTACTGCTTGCTTGGTTGGACTAATAATTAAAAATTTTAAATCGTCCTCTCTCTTTCTCTCTCACACACACACCTTTTTTAGACATAATAAATTCGATGTTGATGTAGTAGGAGCATCTTCAAATTTTTCAAATTTTGACGCTAGATTTTTAAATCGGTCTTTATAAAACGCATACACAAAGCGTAATCAATTTGATTTCGTATGATTAACCACAAACACAAAAAATACGTAGTTTACTTTTGGATTGTTAAAAAATCTAGATATTTAATGATATTTATCTTCTCAACTTTCTTTCTAGCCTTTCCACTGATTCTCGTCCATGGAATAGTGAGTTTATTTGATTTTTATCAATAAATTCGTAAAAATATCTTATGTCAGCTAAGTTGATAGGATATTTCTAATGTTTTAATATTTTCACAGTTGAAATCACGAGTCGATCTTAGATAGACCACTATTGAAAATCTGGAGACACTAGATGACCGTCTCGTTCTAGTACGGGGTTCCTCAATAATACGCACCTACGACCACATATGGGATTCGAACTCAGGACCTTCGGTCTCGCACGCGAACCTATAATGTCTAGACCACTGAGTCACCACCCATCGGTATTAATGCCCAACTGTAATCAATCTATTATCTTGCGTAACACTCCATCCATTGCCTATGGTAGATAACGGTCACACTCGACACGAATTAGACTCCACTGGTCACGACTTTTCATATTTTTAGATTTACAATGTTTAATCATACAGCATTTTCATTGTAAAGTCTCAAATGAATTAATGTCTTCTAGCTTTATTTAGCTTTTCAGATTTCGTAGTCATAGATGTCTGCGTAGATTTTCAATGTATTTCATGATTACATGATGAAGATAACTAGAATAGTCCACCAAAATCACTGTGTTTCCCTTTCAACCAACTGATAGTGTCAAAACAGTTAACCTTTTTTGTTGTTGAATATAGCCTATAGTTTTACCATAAACTTATTTCACAAAATTGAATCTTTTTTCCCCAACCTTAGTTTTTCGTTTATTTCTGACCACCATAACTTGTATGAATATGCATCAATATTTGAATAAATAGTTTAACGGAAATTGGACATCCAATATATGAAAGAGATTGTGTGTAAAAGTTGTTTGAAATAATCTCGGCGAATTAAATTTAGTTTATTCCAACGTTTTGTTGAATAATCTTATGTGGACTTGCCATGTTTGAGGAGATTACGAGTTCATCTAAATCTGCGAACGGAACGAAGACTCGGCAACACAATAACCAAATAAGCTAACTATTCCGATGCGTCCCAGCCCCGCTAACTAGAGAGAGAAGTTCGGGTTCAGAAGAGAGAAATGCATTCACAAGCAGCTAGAAGCACGAAAATCAACAAGCACAACTGAAGCATATATATACTACATAAAAATATATTTGAGAATCGTAACAAAATAGCATATTAAAAGAGACAACAAACCAATGACATTTAAGGTCCTCTCAATGGGAAATACGACAGGAAGGTGAAAATGGGCGATTTCGGCGCGAAGACAAGAAGTTCAAATTTCCAAAATAAAACCACAAAAATAAGATATTTACCGAGTTCTGAGGATCTAGCATCCCAAACAGGATTTTTTCGAGGTAATAATGACAATTAAAAGAAAATGCAATATACATAAATTAAATCTACGCTAAGGACTTGTTTAATCATGTACAGATGTTGATTGTATAAAGTATGAAAATATGAGTCAGTAATAATAGTAATAGTAGCCTAATTTTGTTTGATGATAATTACACTTAATGGATAAACAATCTAGAGTTCTGTTTACATATTTTTCTCTTTTTTAAAATAATATTTTGACAGTGAATTGTATGCATTTTCACTACAGGTGATGTACTTAAACTGTCAAGTACTATAACAGGAGCCAGTACCATTACTTATACTCTGACTACTGCTACTACTACTACTGCCATTAATAATAATATTGATAATGATAATAATTGTCGTCAATTGGATGAAGTCGAAAAATTTCAGTGCAATACTGAAAATACGTTTGATGAAAATACTAAATTTTCTAGTTTAGTTGATAAACCCGTGGTACATTATTCATCATCATCGTCAAGGGAATTGGTTGTTAACGGAAAATCATTAGTATATTCTGGAAGCAATTCTAATTGTTTGAATAACCCTGTAGAAGTAAGTGTCCGTGTTTTTTTTATTGGATTTTTGAGTGCAAGCTTCCATAACAGGATGAATATTCGGACAGTTGGGATTTTCGGAGCTATACTGATGTATGATGTACTGACTTGAGCCGATGTACTTTCTTGTCAGGTTGTGCACTGATGATGACTAACTGACTAAACTAATAAACATGAAGTATTTGAGTTTCAATACTCATTGATATATATATTCAATTCATTTCTAAAGTCACATCTAAAAAGTGGGAATGTAACATGCCATATTATCGAATCTATATTGAAAACAGAGTAGTCACATATCTTGTGTTTTCATTGATATCAGCTGACTATTATTATTATTACTATTATTGTTATGTGCTAGTATAGGTAAGACTCGCTTAACAAACTTCTTTAATAAGGCCACTTCATTGGTACATAAAGATTGTCAAACATTTGTTCGAATATTCTCTATTTAGTAGTTAAAGATAGCAGACTTAATATCAGTTGATCTCTAATGTATACAAATAAATATACTAAATCGTTCTTTTGTATTGTTTAGTTTTAATCAAATTCATTAGTAAGAAAAATGTTTAATAAATTTAGATACGATATATATCAAGTATTTTTAAGTCTTATTTACTATATAACTGTAAAAACTCCATTAGAGTACATCGTCGATATATCCATATTTATGATAACTAATTAAGTTTCCATTTTATCTTTATTATTAAAATTATTCAAATGTATATAATCGAAAATCCTAGCAAATCATATAATTCAACTGTTGTTACTTTGTCGAATTGATTGACAGAATTCGCCTAATACTGAAGATTGAACTCTATAATATTGCTTAATTCTTATCTTTTGCGAATAGTGATCCTGTTTTAACTGCTAAGCTAATTAAGTTACTAGCCGAATATTAGCATTTGTTAAACTGCCATCAGAATCGTCAACATCGAATGATGTTCACTGTCCTCCTTTTTATCTAAGTTTGTTATATATGTCCTCTTAGAAATTACGATTCATCTAACTAACCAGGAGTAGACCTGCTACTAAGCGATTCACTTATTGATTTAGAATATGCCGATGACAGTCCTATTCGGTGTAGAAACCATCAAAATGTAGAGTCTTTTGATCACATTGAGCATGTATGCGAACATGTTCAAGATGCATTTCTCTCTGTAAATGCAAAATGTTTCCAAAGAACTGATGTGCACTGTCGCCTAAAGGAAGTAAAGTAGTTGAGTGCGTTCAATTGTGTTTGGGGAGAGATGTTTATCTGTCAGTTAAAGGGTTATTATACTGCACAACTATATGTCTAACCACCATCTGCATTGATGTATGGTGTTTATTGGTTTAGAATTAGGTTGACAGGAAGTTTATCAGGCAGGCGTTCGGACCAGAATACCGTCAGTCCATGAAATTACTATTGGTCTGAGCCTTGTTGGTAGATCCAGACTACTCGATTGTGGTCTGGGCGATAACCGTGGTTAGTGGTTCGAAAATCTAGGTGATATGATTTAGAATCGTTCACAATGAGGCAGATGAACCTACTCTTTATCTGCCTCTCGATCTTAAATTCCAGTACTCCTTCATACATACTTTTTCACTCTGTCTTGTGGAATCACATTCTCAATGCTCAGTCTTTCCTGCGATCATCAGTACAACATTATTTCAGTTTCTTTTGCTATTCATCTTCTTAGTTTTTATCTCTTTTTGTTAGTGTAGTTAATTTAATCTCCCTGTGCTAATGGGGTATGACAACTTAAACCGATGTACGTACGTATCAGGTCCTACTTTGCGATTGACTAACTAATTGCATGTAATATGCCAACTCAGCCCTGCATACATTTTTGTCAGACTCTACATTGCTCACTAAATGACTGATTATTTGATTCGTTTACTTGATATATTCTCATGTGTTATGAAATTGCAATCTGTTTGTAGCTTAGCGCAGCCTGTTACAATAATGTTTATTAGCATGGGATCAATTTTCTCAGTCATATAATTTACCATAAAACTGTGAATACAATTTTATTATAATGATTCTCTAATACATAAATAAAATTCCCGTATTTGTATATTTAGCTTTATATATATATATATATATATATATATATATATATATATATATATATATATATATATATATATATATATATATATATATATGGTTATGAATTTAAAAATCAAGTAGTATTCTCAATCATTTCTTTTGTTATAGATTTCTAATGACGAACGTGAAATTGATACACTCCTTACATTGATGGAACCTAAAATTGTACAGCAACCTATTCCATTTTCTCCTCTCAGGTACACAGTTATTCCTGATGAAATGGAAATAAACCGATTGAGCGAACTATCATTAGAACAGTCAGCTGATGCGGTAATTTTTGAATTGTCCATTTTTCTGAATAATTATATCATTTTTATTTTTACATGATGTTTATAGAGTTTTGCGTCAGATAAGTTATTTCTTTGTGACATTGACCAATTACTAGTGTTTGACCATATGCGTCTTATAAGCACGTATATTGGGACAACTAAGTAAATAGCAGTTAAGTTAAACTGAACATACTCTGTGAGAATGATAAATCAGTTGATAAGACTTTGAACCTTTAATGACTGGTAGCTAGGGCTTTCTTTAGAACATGCCTGACTACCATCTATCTCGAAGCGCAATATTGGCTGACATATAAGTAGATTGGAAAACATTAGGGGTAACTAAATCAAGACGTTAGAGCAGTTCATGAAGTCAATGACTGTTTGTCTGAGCTATGTCGGCGGATCTAGATTATCTGATTACAGTCTGAACGATGACTATAAACAGTGGTTGAGGACAAGTGAAATGGCTGAAAATGAGTCCCAACTGTTCAAGTGCATCTGCTTTTTTAACTGTCATCAGATCCAAGTTATTTTATACCTCTTATCCTGCCAACTGTCTCTTCTCAAACCATATCCTCTATACCTAATCTTTTTTATTACTGCTGGTACTACTTTTTTATACCACTGTATTCTTCATCTTGATTATTTTATCTCGCTATACTAATATGGTGTGTCAACTTGGAACTGATAAATGCGTCAAGTTCTGTGTTGATTTTGACTAACGATATCATTGTAATATCCCAACATTCCAATTGTTCCAACTTTGTATTGCAATTTTCAAAAGATATCCACAATAAGAAGGAATGTGTATAATTATTAAATTGACAAATAAATACGTTATGATAGCGATCGAAAGGAAAAAAACTGTTTGTCACAAAGTTACGCACCGAACCCGAAAACAAAATAAATTACGGATCATTTCATTTAGTTACATCTTCAAATACATGTTTAAAAAAGCAAAGAATTTTAGAGCGAACTATTGCTTTCAATAACTTCGTCATCAGGGTCTACATTCAGCCACCCATAATTATTGTGTCAAGATTATGCATCAATGAATTCGAAAATAACATGTGCTAAAAAGCGGTTAAGTTTTGCATCTGTTATGATGTAAATACATCAAAAAAGTTTGAAAGGTCATTTACGATAGGTTCATGTGTAGTTTGATCAACTAAGGTTTTCAAAATGGTACAATCTATCAACTCATTGTTTTCAAAGATACAGCTTAAAATTATTCGAATGTTTTCAGTCGTATTTACTGTTTTGTTTTGTAAACCATTTCTTTAATGACTACTTCGTCACCATATGATTGTTCCTTAAGATAGTACTTCTCTTTTCTATTATTGTTACCAGTTGTAACTAGTTCATTTACCCATTAATTGTAAGAGCCATTTGGTTTCATAAAATTAACAGAACTAATAATTACAGGTAAATAACCATTATACTTTCAATATTAAGTGGTTACTTACATATTCTAATCTATGTTATAGATAGCCTTTAGTGATCAACAAACTTCTTGTCATTAAACGAGATAACAAATCTATTCCATACAGAATATTTTGATTTAATTCAACAAATAGTATATCTACATTTCACCTGAAATGTACCTCTTATATCTCGTATAAACCTTTCTTTTAATTTCTGAGGTTCGTTGTACTAGGATAGGTAATTTGACATAGGAATACATTGTTCTGTAACAATTGAATAGCTGAAAATAAATAATCATATTTTTATTCGCATATCTGTTACTTAATAACATGATTTTCTGTAAAAAGAAAATCATTATCCTTTTATGATTGTTTTCTACTATCTTCGTTTCTTAATACTAATGATTATCTAGGCCTTTCATCATCTATTTTATTTTTAAGTAATTAATAAGAAAATTTTCACAGTTGAATTCATTAGTCGATCTAATCTAGACCATTATTTAAAACCTGGGTATGCCGGATGACCTTTTTGTCCCCAGTATGGGTCTCCACATTAGTGCGCACCCATGATCCTGCAAAAAAAAGCCTAATTTTTCCCTTTTAACTAAGAATTCAAAATATTTTTTTTTGTTTTCATATAAACCTGTGAGTGTTTTTTGATTTGTTTGGATTTTCATCTCTCTAATAAACTATTATTTTAGGATACTGAAACCAATGGATGGGAAGATGCATGGAATACAGATCCATGAACAGATCAAGCATTCTGTGACGATTGTGAAATTGTTTATTACATTTTCTTTTCATTGTTCATTTCTCTCCTTTCTTTTTACTATTAAAGGTATGGTTTATTTTGTGAGTGGTATGTTTGTTATCATTATTATTATTATTATTTTCTTTCTTTTATATTCTTTCTCATTTGGTTTTATTACTATTTCTGTAATATTTTTGTTAAGATAATAAACTAGATTTTGAATCATCTGAGAATATTTACATGTTTGTATTTATTTTAATTTTTGAGCTGTTGTAATTTTATTTGTCAGGTAATCACTAGTTTTTTTCTTCTTCTTGTACAAAAGGTTAATGAAAATTACTATTCTTTTAGTTCATGTCGTTTGTCTTTTTTCTTTCACTATTCATACACATTGTTAGTTTAATATAGAGATGATTAGATTGGTTTAGTTTATTATTAGTTTTAAATTGAACCAGATTTGTTTTAATTTTAACGAATAGATTGGCATTGATGTCCAAATTTGTATTGAAATCGATTTTTATTATTCAATATTATGCTGGTAGTAGTATAAACGATAATTAATATGAATTAAGATTTTATGAATGGATTATTCATTTTGATAGAATAATGAAAAGATTGAGTTGATCTGAAAAATGTGATGTATTTGAGCTATACATCACATTTTCCAGATCAACTCTCTCTTCTCATGATTCTATCAAAATTTACAAAAGGGACTAATTGTTTCAGAATTTTTGATTATCAAGATGATAGAAAACAGTGCTAATCGCTAGATAAACACAATAATACGAAGTAACCAATTGATGGGTGCTCACGAGACTGTTGTGAACTCCTAAGTGGTTTAAAAATCAGAAGAAACTAACATGACCATGTACAAAGTATTGACTCAGTAACATGATTAGATGTCATAAATAACATGAATTGTATAGTTTTCCCACTCTCTAGTAAATGAAGTCCGAACTGTCTGGTCTAAATCTAATCCATCTAAGTGCTACGTATACGGACAGATATAAGTAATAATTATCAGGGATTGGGAGTAGAATTCTTACAGAGGAGGAAAATGAGGAGAAGGGAGAGAAACACAAAAGGAGTTGGATTAGCAACATGAATAGAAGAACAATGCAGCTTTTAATAGACAATTCAAGGAAGATGTGCAAACAGTGTACTCCGTACATTGTTTTCATATTTTACAAATGCAGTGTATGATTTTGCACAGTACGGTAATTTGGTTTACCCTACCCAAATGCTCGTTCATTAAAGTATCGCTTCCACGAAATGATGTGGTGATATTTCCTGACTTACTTCATTTATTCAATTTTATTGAAAACCACGTTTTTTGTTACTTTCATCTGTTCCGACTGCATTATTGACATAAAACGTAAGATACATTACTATCGTTGCTTGATTAACAAGGTTGAATACATTTCAAGACATATAAGCTGTTAATTAACATAAAAATAATTAGGTTAGTTTGGATTTAGTTTTACATTTAAATAGATTTGCTTTAATATTAGCTGATAGATTAAATCAGAGTTTATTTTTGTTGAAGTCGACTTTTGATAGTATTGTGTAGGAGTTAAAATAACATTTAAGCGGGTGATTTTTTCGCCGAATAGTATTTACGTAACAATCGGACATTGATCAATGTTCTTATCGTAGTTACTGAAACTTTAATATCAGCATCTTTAATCTGGTTGGCTAATTTCTGACACTTATTTGGGTTTGACAACTCTAGAATATCGCATAAAGTCAGACTTATCTATATAATATATCAAATGATCTTTAATGGGATATGAAGATAACACCCTGAAGTTTAGGGTTCATGCACCTTAATTTCTTTCGTATTGATTTCTTTGTGCAGATTTTTCTTAATGTAAGGTGATTGTCAGTAGTTGACAGGAAACCCTGGACCTAGGGATTAGATAAAACCTACATGTTATCTAGTTGACCAAAGTATCTGGCTAGGATTATTTTGCTATTTTTTTTCTTTGTAAACATTCTACGTCGTCTTGTAAAGTTAGCAAGACAAATGATACTATTATTATTACTTTTTGTTAGTATAGCTCTTCTCATTTGCTGTGGTTGAATTATCTACTTGTTTCTGATGAAATAGATAACGAATTAGAGTATTTTAAGCATAAATCGCGAGCAATCCTATTCAACCAACCAGCATGTTTCACTTTTTCCCTTACTAACATTAACATATTTCTGCCGATCACAAAATCAGAGCGCAACTTAGACTACTGCTTAGTTCAAAATGAAATTGCGTTTAGTAATAAGCTTTGAAACTTATTTGTGACAGTATATTCAAGGCTCTATAAAGCACCTTGTTTGCCACACTTCTTATTCTTATGGTATGATGAAAATATACTTTTAGAAAATCTGTCTCATTTCTCTGCTGATTTGGCATCAAGATTTAAATGACTGAAGTAAATGTAATCAAATCTGCTTGTTTTGTACGTGTTCATAAAAATCTCGTGTTTGACAATATTCACTTATTTTGAAATAAGTAAACCAAAGTTTAAGTGTCTATTTATCATTGAAAACCTTATATCATAAGGGTTATCTGCTAGATTGTCAGTAAAATACGCGACATTCATTCCAATAGAATTTGGGTTACTTATTTAAAAGTAGGAAGCTTAGATCACAGATAGACTAGATTCGTCTCATTATGTATGTCAAACATACTTTATTATAAACATAGAACACTGTACCCAGCTGATATGATCTGCAAACATGAATTAGTTTTAGTCAGGTTAGGTATACTTAAAAATTCAAATCTATTATTACTTTACAAACTGAATTGTCAACGTAATTATTTATTTAATTCAATCTCTATGAATTACTTTATTCTTAGTTTTGTCGATTATGAACTTAATTGTAATTTCACATGTACATGAGTCAGTGATTAAAAATCCCTAAAATGGGGAACATTTTAACCAAATTTACTACAATTTTTGTATGATTCGTTCTCATTGAAAAATGTACGGTAGCTAGCTCTGGTAAGTGTATGACATAATTATTTGCACAAATTTTTTCGGAGTTCAAAAACATACAAAGTAATGATGAATTAATAAGAATAGTAATACTGTTAATTAACAACCAATCGACATTAAAACCAACTGACCTACAACAATACAAATTTAATTGAGACAAATTTTATTATGAATTCAAGATATTTGACACATTCCTTATTACCATCTTGTGTTTTTTTAAACACACACTGTGTATTCTTGAAGAAAATGAAGTACTAATCTCAAAGATCATAGATGTGATAGTCTGTTAAGAAGTATGATTGACTTAAAATGTCAACACGTAGGAATTTAAGTAAATAAAGTTACTGTACTCTGTTATTCATTTTTCCTACACTTATCTTTGAATTTGTTTGGAATTTGACAAAGTTTTTAAAAAATTCATTAACCAACGGAAATCAGATAATGTTCTATGGAGTTACTTTGCTTATATTTATTTAGCTACATTTTTTCAGATTTGTTAAACTGAATTTATCACTCACTAGTACTTTAATATTTGAACTACTTGCGTTCGAATCTAAGTAGTTCAAATTCCAAGTTGTTGAAAATCCAATGTTCATCTTTTATATAAAGAAATCCAGGTTTATTTATGTCCAGTAACGATTACTATTGATTAATACCTTTAAAATAGGTTATTACTTACGCCTCTGATCAGCATTCTCCAACCCACTCTGTCCTGGGCCTTCCTTCATAGTTCCATCCAATTCTTGTTCATTTTCCTCATGTATATCTCCATTTCCCGGCGTAATGTTTTCCTTGATCTTCCTCTTCTCCTTTGATCTTGAGGATTCCATGTGAGGGCTTGCCTTGTGGCACAGTTGGGTGCTTTTCTCAATGTGTGTCCTATCCACTTCCAGCGCTTCTTCCTGATTTCTTCCTCTACTGAGATCTGGCTTGTTTTCTCCCACAGTAGGTTGTTGCTGATAGTGACTGGCCAACGGATCCGAAGTATTTTGCGTAGAAAACTTAATAAACACTTGTATCTTCTGGATGATGTCTTTAGTGGTTCTTCAAGTTTCCGCCCCAGTAGACAGTGGGACTGTCTTGACATTTGTATTGAAAATTTCGACTTTGATGTTGGCTTGCTGACGGTTGTTTTGATTTTCGGATGTTCTTCAGTTGTAAATGGGCTGCTCTTTCTTTTCTGATCCTCACCTTCACATCTGCATCAGGTCCAGCGTGTTCATGAATGATGCTGCCCAAATATGTAAAGGTTTTTACATCCTCCAAATCCTCCCCGTCAAGCGTGATTCGATTGAAAATATGTTATTAGTCTAATCATTTGCAAGTACGGAATTAAATATCCATTAGTTTCCAAGTTAATACGTTCATCACTGAAGGTATTTTTGGATGCCGATTGATAACACATTTCAGTCTGCTGTAGTTTTTGTACGTTCTTTGTTTCCTAAGAATCTTATTTCACAACAACCGACTTTTTAAAAAAGTTCTTTATCTTTTGCGACAAAATCAATTTTATTCTCTAGTTGACATATTAATTCGGTCATCACTGAAATAATAAGACAGACAGCTGTTTTACCGTATTCCTGACAACGTTATCAAATAATATCATTGAACAAATTATTTCCAAGTTTGTAGCAAGCACTCTATCACCTATTCAGCTGTTCATTGGGTTCATTTTTGTGTTTCAATAGCGATTTATAGTTGCTTACTAGTTAGATTTTGTAGGTTTTTTAATATCTGTTACAGTTAACTATGTTACCACTGTCATCCACAACCACTTAACATACTACTGTTAATATTGTCATTTCTGTGCGATTCTCTATTTATTCTCTTAATGATGTATTTCAGCGTTGCTGCTGTTTTGTCTTTTCTAGCCTCCTAAAAAGAATAAATCATCAGGCAGTCGTAGTCAACGTAAAAGTTCACGAAAATTAAGTAGTACTAATAAAAAGTCAAACAATCCATTAATTTTAAATAATGATTTACTACAGAGTATCGATGAATTAGATGATGCAACAATTCAATCATTTGGTCAGGATTATTATCTATTTGTAATTAAACAATTAGAAATGCAAGTAAATGCATATGAAGATTATATTAAACAATTATCCATGCAAAATGAAAAAATTATAACAAAGGTAACCTTGTTCTTGTAGAAGTTAGTTTCTGGTCAAATAAAATGTTTACTGAAATCCTTTAATTTACATTAAGGTCATTTTAAATTGTCATTAACTAATGACTTTGAATGTAGCCGTATACATAAAGTGCACAAAATGACTGGTGTTGTAAACTGTTGAAGATATGATCCCAGTTTCTAATTGTATCCAATAGATCTTGGTCAGCTTCACATTACTCTGTGTGTTCTTGA